TTTTGTAAGATATATAGAAGGATGTTTGTAGATTATATTCAAATACTATACCTTTTTTGTTTGTAGATTTATTTATTTTTATTGGAAAGGCAGATCAGATTTTTTTAAGGTTTTTAAAATTTTTATTGGAAAGTCAGATTTACAGAGAGAAGGAAATACAGAAAGATCTTCTATCTGCTGATTCATTCCCCAAGCGGTCACAAAAGTCGGAGCTAAACCTATCTGAAGCAAGGAGCCAGGACCCAGGAATCTCCTCCAGGTCTCCCATGCAGGTGCAAGGTCCCAAGGCTTTGGACCATCCTCTACTGCTTTCCCAGGCCACAGGCTAGAAGCTAGAAGGGAAGTGAAGTAGCCAGGATTAGAACCAGCACCCCTGTGGGATCTCAGCGCATGCAAGGTGAGGACTTAACCACTAGGCTATTGTGATAGGCACCAGCAGAAGAGATTTTATGGAGAGAAGAGAGATAGAAAGATCTTCCATCTGGTAGTTTATTCCCCAAATGGTCACAATGGCCGGAGCTGAGCCAATCTGAAGCCAGGAGGCAGGAGCTTCTTCCAGGCCTCCCATGTGGGTGCAGGGTCCCAAAGCTTTGGGCCATTCTCAACTGCTTTTCCAGGCCACAATCAGGGAGCTGGATTGGGAGGTGGAGCTGCCGGGATTAGAACCAGCATCCATATGGGATCCCAGTGCTTGAACAGGAGGATTAGCCAGCAATGCCATTGCACCAGGCTCTAGGTCTTATTATTTAATGTATCATTGTAAACACACATACAATGTTACAATGCAACTTGGCTTTCATTAATGTCTTAGACTTCCTTGGGAATTCAGTTAAAAAGCCCTGAGTGTCCCAGGTCTCACCAGGGAGTTTAAAAGAAATAAGATCATCTGCCGAAAGCCAAAGCACTCTATGAGCACTTTGCTTCATTCCTCCCAGACATTTCCGACTAGGAGGAGGTGGCTCCGTGGCCAGGGCAGCAGAAAGCCCCTAGGTGGCGCCAAAAGTTCCTGCCAAGAATAGACGTCCCAGACTCATTTAAGTGGAGCTGACCAATCAGAAGACAACACACACCTTTACCTCAAGCTCCATCATCACCACTACTTAAGCCAGGCTTGCCTCCGTCCTGGCCACTTTAGCTCCCTGCTAACCTTGTGCACTGGTGAATCTCGCCCGGGAGCAGATCTGACTAAACCCTGGTTTTACCATCATTCTGGTCTCGGTAGCCCTGCTGTTTGGGTGCAGTTTTTATCTAACATCTAGAAAGCTCACAGTCTGAGAACAGGGATTGAAATCGCACCTACTGTGGCAGAGGTCTGTGTGATGGCAGAGATGGGACAACTTTGGAGGCCTCAAGACCCGAAACCTGGCTCTTTTTTCCCCCCATTTTTTGCCTTTCCCTTCTTTTTTTTTTTTTTTTTTTAATTTCTTTTTATGACATGGTTTCATAGGTTCTGGGATTTCCCCAACCCCTCCCCATGTCCTCCTCCCATGTTGGATTCCTCCACATCGTTGCAGTAGCACAGTTCATATCCAGTCCTGATTCCTTCATTGCAAGCATGTACCATGCCTAGAGTCCAGCCTCTTATTGTACAGATAGTTTCAACAGTTTCCTTGGAAGACCATCCCTGGTCTGAAAGTAGAGCTGGCATCCCCTTCAATGAAAAGCCACAACATAACATCAACAACAACTTACAACATTATGGAATTAATTGACATGGTATTGAATGACCAATATGTTAGAAAATGCAAATTCTTAACCACATCCTGTGACTACTTCATTGACATTTCAATTTTAGTTTATACACAACCAGCTGCTATACTCCTTAAAATGGCTATAGGGTACTATTCAGCTGTCTCGTGTCTATTTACATTTTTATATTTAGCAGCTTATAGTATTGAAGCATGATTTAACTGAACTTGGTGAATTTTAGGATAGCCCAAACAGGCTTATAACTCTAACAAGGCATAGTTAACAATTGAGGCGCAGAACTGTTTTAGGTGGGCTATGCAGAGAAATCTTCAATACCTTAGTGAGGAGTAACTAACCTTTTTTTAAAAAAAAAAAAAAGATTTATTTATTTTACTGGAAAGGCGGATGTACAGCGAGTAGGAGAGACAGAGAGGAAGATCTTCTGTCTGATGATTCACTCCCCAAGTGACCACAACGGCCAGTGCTATGCCCATCTGAAACCAGGAACCAGGAACTTCTTTCTGGGTCTCCCACATGGGTGCCGGGTCCCAAGGCTTTGGACCATTCTCAACTGCTTTTCCAGGCCACAAGCAGGGAGCTGGGTGGGAGGTGGAGCTGCCGGGATTAGAACCAGCATCCATATGGTATCCCGGCGCGTTCAAGGAGAGGACCTTAACCATTACGCTATTGCACTGGGCACAAGGAGTAACTAATCTTTGTGTCCTACCTAGTTAGGTATATGTGAATCCAAGCTGACCATTTCTTGTCTGTTCTAAGCTTTTCTTATTGGTCTCTGTTTATCTAATCTAATTTGGCATGGGGGAGGGGGGAGGCTCCAGAGCAACCCTGATGGTCATTGCAAGAGAGGGTGGGGATCCAAAGTTGGAACTAAGTAAGGACCAGAGAAAGGTCCTCTCCTGGGACCCAAAGGAGGTTTACTGTTCTGTTTCTGAGGACCACTCAAGGCTCCTGACTGTTATTCTGATGACATTAGATTCTGTAAGGAAGGATTCTTCCATCCCATGTGGGAGATCTGAAAGGGAGTGAATGACCTCAGAGTTCTTGGCCTACAAGGGCACTCCAATTCCCCGTGGTCTCCTTGGCTGTTGGGATATAGCTCTTGGTGCCCATGCTGAAAGTCCTAGGTGAGGATCCAGAAGTCTCCAGGGCTGGGATACAAGCCTCCTCTTGTCCTCCTACTTCACTCTGGGGTACCCCCTGCTCTGTGCATATGACCTCCTATTAAGAGGCTGTCAGGATCGCTCTTGATTCCCACTGTATGTTTTTATAGTTTTGCTAATGTCTAATGCCGAATCCAGTCTGTTATCTATAAGTTGCCTGTTATATTCTTGATAGGTTATATTTAACATCTTCCTCACACATTCCAAGAAGGTAGAGAATTTCTCTGCTCTTCCAATCCATTACGGAATAACATAGGGTATTAAAAGCATATTAGGTTTTACAGTTCTTTGATGTAGATTATAAGAAATCTGACTTGCATTGATTGTTGGTTCATTGGTTACATCACAATATCTTATTGCATGTAGTACAGGTTGTTTGAGGTTGAAATAATATTACAATTTACAGGTACTACTTTTTGGATTGACATCATTTCATCTTAAATTAAGGCAAACATGTGGTATCTAACCTTTAGGGATTGGCTCATTTCCCTTAGCATAATGAAAACCTGGCTCTTAAACCTGGTATGGTAATGCCACTGCCTGCATGGGCGCAGCATATGGGTGCTGGTTCCAGTCTTGGCTGCTCCATTTCCAGTCCATCTCCCTGCTAACTTGCCTGGGAAAGCAACAGAAGATGGCCCAAGTGTTCGGGCCCCTGCACCCACATGGGAGGCTTGAATTGAGTTTCTTGGCTCCTGGCTTTGGTCTGGTCTAGTTTTGGTCATCACTGCCATTGGAGAATGAAATCGTGGATGAAAGATCTGTTTTTCTCTCTGTAACTCTGACTTTCAAATAAATAAACCAATCCGGAAAACAAAGACACAGCAGCAGTATGCACAACAGCTGAAGGCTTGCTGGAGTGTCGTCTTGTCACTAGCGCTGTGGGGGTTGTGGGAAGAAGCTTCCCTACAGAGTGTGTGTGACCTACAAATGCAAGGTGACTGGACGTTTGGGAGAGTAAGGGAGCTGTGCAAGCTGTATTAGGGCCCCAGCAGGAGAATTTCCTCCTGTCCCAGCCAGCAGCTCCAGCGGAGCCCAACCAAAGGCCACAGTCGCAGGCAAGGGACGTAGCAGGTGCCGAGGGAAGGGACCCTGTGCCTTTGCTGTGGGAACTGACTCAGGCAGGGTCACTGGAGAAAACAGGCAACACCTAGCACCCTAGAAGGTCTAAGTTAGAATAAAGGATGGGACCCAGCACGGTGACCTAGTGGCTAAAGTCCTCTCCTTGAACGCACTGGGATCCCATATGGCCATCGGTTCTCATCTTGGCAGCCCCGCTTCCCATGCAGCTCCCTGCTTGTCACGTGGGGATGCAATCGAGGACGGCCCAAGGCCCGGGGACCCTGCACCCACATGGGAGACCTGGAAGAGCTCCTGGCTTCAGATCGGCTCAGCTCCGGCCATTGCGGTCATTTGGGGAGTGAATCATTGGACGGAAGATCTTCCTGTCTCTCCTCCTCTCTGTATATCTGACTTTGCAATAAAAAATTAAATAAACCTTAAAAAAAAGGAATAAAGGATGTTGCAGGATTAACAAGAAGTGGATAGGTGCTGTCATGTAGTGGGAAAAAGCTACCAACTACAATGTTGGCATCCTCCATGGGGAGTCTGTTTAAGTCCCGGCTGCTCCACTTCCCATTCAGCTCCCTATTCATGACCTGGGATAGCAGCGGAGGATGGCTCAAGTGCTTGGGACTCTGCTACCCGGGTGGGAGACCTGGAGAAAACGCCTGCCTTCAGCTTGACCCATCCTTGGTTGCTGCAGCCAACTGAGAGAGTGAACCCATAGGTACAAGATCTCTCTCTCTCTTTGTGCACCTATGAGTTCAAATTCATCATCTTTAGAAAGAACGAAAGAGAAGGAATGTTAAACTGTCAGGGCCTGCGTCAGTGCGGAGCCACCACCCCAAGTCTGAAGGTGAGAGGGAACAGACAATTGTGCCTAGAGACGGCGCTTTTAGGAGGACCCAAAACAGCCCGGGTCAGCCCCCAACCAGTGAGCGCCAATCGCAGGTGCGCGCGACCGGATTGGACAGCTCGGCGAGCGGGGGAGGCGCCTAGGTCGGGGAGGCGAAGTTTCCGGTCGAACGCCTCCACCGTCTCCCCTGGCAACGGCGGAGGCGGAAGGAACGGAGGACTTGCTCTCCACCGCCGCCCGCGGAGCGCGGGAAGGCTGGCGGCCATGGCGTCCCCGGGCGCCGCGTGTCGCAACTGGTGTCTGTTTCCCGAGGTGCCGTCCGCCACCTTCTTCACGGCGCTGCTCTCGCTGCTCGTGTCCGGACCTCGCGTGTTCTTGCTGCAGCCGCCCCTGGCACCCTCGGGGCTGTCGCTGCGATCCGAGGCCCTGCGCAACTGGCAAGGTGAGCCGGGGCGGGGTCCCTGCGCTCCAGCCTCCCCACACACCTTCCCCGGCCTCGTGGCTTCCCCACGAACCCTTGCAGTGCCGCCTCTTGCTGCCCCGTATTTCACGTCCCTAGCTTTCCAGGGTCCTTTCAGTCATTGTCACAGCTGGCTCTACCGTCCCCCAACGTGTTCCCTTCCTTGTGGTCACCAAGGTGGATCAGGCCCCATACACACACACACACATACACATCGAGTCACTTGGAACTAATGCTGTGGGGAGAAGCTTAACATACTACGCCACGGCACCGCCCCCTTTCCCCCATGTTTTTAATTGCATGACGTTTTCAACCAGAGCTTGAGGGTAGAACAATTCCCCCCAAACTATACAGACTGGCATCTCGTGTATTGGTTGTGGAAGTATTTTTGATGAATAATGAAAAACTAAAACAGGGATTTGGGTTCCGGCACGATGGCTCAGTGGCTAATCCACCTGCAAGCATCAGTGTCCCAAATGGGTGTCAGTTCATGTCCTGGCTTCTCCACTTCCCATCCAGCTCCCTGCTTGTGACCTGGGAGAGCAGTAGAGGATACCCCAAGGCCTTGGGACCCTGCACCCACGTGGGAGACCCGGAAGACACTCCTGGCTTTGGATCAGCTTGGCTCTGGCCGTTGTGGCCATTTGGGGAATGAAGCAGGGGATGGAAGATGTTTCTGTTTCTCTTTCTGTAAATCTGACCTTCCAATCAAGTAAGTCCATAAAAAGAGAAAGGGATTTTTATTTGCTTAATTGGAAGGCAGAGGGAGACAGAGGTCTTCCATCCACTGGTTTACTCCCCTAATAGCCGCAGCCTGGAAAGTCCTACCGAGTCCTCCTCGTGGGTGGCAAGAGGTCAAAGGACTTGTGTCACCATCCACTGCTTTCTCGTTGCATTAGCAGGAGCTAGATTGGGAATGGAATAGCCGGGACTCAAACCGGGGCCCATGTGGAATGCCGGCTTCCCAGGCAGCAGGGTAACCCACCGCACGGCATCACTGGTCCCAGAATCCGAGAGATGGCAGGCTGTGTGTATGGTCCCAATGCATGCTTCCCTGCTCTGAAGTAAACTGTTCTTCCGCCCACACCCCACCCCCAGATAGGTGCAGCCCCTTTTCCAGGAAGCAAAACAGGGACCTACACAGAGCCCCTCCCCGCTGTTTCTTTAATTGATGACTTCCCTGGTGTAGAGTTCAGAGCCACGTGAACAAACACTCTAGCGGACTACCTTGAGCAAATCTAGCCCCAGTGACTTTGCCGTGTGGCAAGTCAAGCCAAGGGGCCCATGGCTTAAACTTGACCGCCAAGAAGTCCGACCTCCCGGTCCTGCAAGGTTGGATAGCTGGGCACGTCACGTTAGAGACAGCAGCTTTTAGAGCGAGGAGGGGACTCCTTGCCATCTTAGTTCGTACCTGGAACTTGTCTGCACCTGTTGAGTTTTTTTGTTTTTCAAGATTTATATATTTTTATCGAAAAGGCAGATTTGCAGAGAGGAGGAAAAACAAAGTTTTTTTTTCATCCACTGGTTCACTCCCCTGTGGCCACAACAGCCAGAACTGAGCCAATCCAAAGCCAGGAACCAGGAGCTTCTTCTGGGTCTCCCACGCAGGTTCAGGGTCCCAAGGCATTGGGCCATCCTCAACTGCTTTCCCAGACCACAGGCGGGGAGCTGGATGAGAAGTAAAGCATCCAGGACACAAACTGGCACCCATATGGGAACCTAGTGGATGCAAAGCAAGGATTTGGCTACTGAGCCATTGCACTGGGCTCACCTGTTGAGGTGTTCAGTGAACATTTTCAAGGAGAGTCCCCTAATGGCTGTCTTCTGAACCTTCCTACAGTTGCCCGATAATTCATACACACCCCTTTTTCTCTCCCTGTAAACAGCCATTAGGGAAGGAGCGGTTAGGATTCTAGCTGGGGAAACTGACACACAGAGGGTTAAGTGGCACCTCCTCCACCGCCCTGATACTGTTACAGTTTGTTAGCCCTCAGACAGCTGGGGGAGGTAGGTCAGTGTGCCTGGAAGAAGGGTTACAAAGCACTTGGCAACTTCAGGTTCCATACCCCATGCCCAGGTTCCATACCCTATGCCTAGAAGGGCTAAAGCTGCCAGGCCCTGTGGAAATGTGTCAGCAGGTGTGAAGAGGCTTGCTGTAGGCTCTGGGTGAGAGAGAGAGAAGGCAGGGGCAGCTGATTGTGCTTCCTGGTCCTGCCCTTTTGGTCACAGGGATGGCTGGTCTCCCCCTGGCATCCCGCTAGGGGTGCCCCATCCATGTCCCCAGTGCTCCGGGAGTTGGCGTGCCCCACCCCGACACAGCTCCACCTCTCCCCTCCCCGCTCTTCAGTCTACAGGCTGTTCACCTACATCTTTGTCTACGAGAACCCGGTGTCCCTGCTGTGCGGCGCCATCGTCATCTGGCGCTTCGCCGGCAACTTTGAGAGGACGGTGGGCACGGTGCGCCACTGCTTCTTCACCCTCATCTTCGCTGTCTCCTCTGCCATCATCTTCCTGTCGTTCGAGGCCGCGTCATCGCTGTCCAAGCTGGGCCAGGTAGAGGACGCCTGTGGCTTCACGCCGGTCGCCTTCGCCATGCTGGGCGTGACTTCGGTGCGCTCCCGCATGCGGCGGGCCCTGGTGTTTGGTGTGGTGGTGCCCTCCTTCCTGGTGCCCTGGCTGCTGCTCGCCGCCTCTTGGCTCATCCCCCAGACCTCCTTCCTCAGCAACGTGTGCGGGCTCTGCATCGGGCTCTCATGTATCCTTCCCGATGGCCGGCACAGGGCGGCCTGGGGTGTCAAGTGCCTGGGGGAACAGGTAAACAGGCACCGAGGGTTCCCCCCAGCTTTGAATCCCATTTGGTCTTGGGCAGCTGCCCTCTGTCCCTGGACCGGCCTTTCCACATTCTGAGGGATCGGCCCAGGTGCCACCTTGCACCAGCTTGGCACTGCTGGCTGATTGCAGGATGTCCCAAGTTAGTCTCCTGTTACCCTCAGAACCAGAAATGTAACCCCTCACTTGATTATGGTGAGCATTTTCAAAGGGGAGAGTGTGGAATAACCCGCAGAGCAGGGATGCTGCTTGCTTCATCTTTCCACTCCCCCCCTCCCAAAGAAAAAGGCAGACTTCTGCCTTGCGGCTGCTTTAAGATACAACCCTTAATGGCTTTTGAGTAAATAACCTGACCCTTAAGAAAAGCGAACTTGAAAAAAAGAAATCGAAGATACAAAGTAGGATTACTTCTCTCAACACCAAACTGTTAGGTAGGATTAGGGTTTGACTCCTAAAGTGTCTATTTAAAAAAAAAAATTAAGATTTATTTTTATTGGAAAGTCAGATATATTGAGAGGAAGAGAGACAGAGAGGAAGATCTTCCGTCTGCTGATTCACTCTCCAAGTGGCTGCAACAGCTGGAAGCCAGTTCGAAGCCAGGAGCCAAGAGCCTCTGCTGGGTCTCCCACTCAGGTACAGGGTTCCAAAGCTTTGGTCGTCCTCCACTTTCCCAGGCCACAAGCAAGGAGCTGGATGGCAGCCAAGATATAAACCAGCGGCCATATGGAATACTGTGCTTGGAGTTGGAGAATTAGCTAGCTGAACCACAGTGTTGGCCCCCTAAAGTCTCTTCTAATTAGTGATTGTGGAAGCTGTCAGGGTAGTCGAGTACTAGCTTAGCTCTTTTTCCTTAAAATTCAGAGATAGTTTCATTGATTCTGAATCTTTCAAGCTGTCCCTGCATTATTACCTGCCTTGTGTTGTTCCTGATGAGAAATTGCTAATCATGTTTATTTATTTGGCTACTTGCATGTTTTTCCCCCCTTTTTAAGATTTATTATTTTAGGGAACTGAAATGATGGCTCAATGGCTAAATCCTCACCTTACAAATGCTAGGATCCCATATGGGTGCCGGTTCATGTCCTAGCTATTCCACTTCCCATCCAGCTCCCTGCTTGTGGCCTGGAAAAGCAGTCAAGGACGGCCCAGAGCCTTGGGACCCTGAACCCATGTGGGAGACCTGGAAGAGGCTCCTGGCTTTGGATCAGCTCAGCTCTAGCCATTGCAACCACTTGGGGAGTGAACCAGTGGATGGAAGATCTAGCTCTTTGTCTCTTCTCTCTAGAAATCTGCCTTTTCAATAAAAATAAATCTTAAATGATTGTTTATTTACTTATTTGGGAAGGTGGAGTTACAAAGAGAGAGAAAGGAGTGGAGAGATAATGGCTGAAGCTGAGCTGAGCTGAAGCCAGGAACTTCCTCTAGGTTTCCCATGTAGGTCCAGGGGTTTGGGGACTTGGGTCAGCGTCTTCTGCTTTCCCAGGCCACAAGCAGGGAGCTAGATGGGAAGTGGGGCAGCCAGACCATGAACTGGTGCACCAGTATGGGATCCTGTCACTGAAGGCAGAAGCTTAGCCTACTACACCACTGTACCAACCTGTTTTCAGCTGTTTAATCTGCCTTCAGGCCACGCTCTTCCATGGCCATTGTTCGGCTCTGTGATTCTGTTGTGCAGCCCACTGTCCTTCCGAAGCTCCAATCACACATGCTAGCCAACTGCGTGACCATGCTCGCAGCTTCTCGCTCGGCCAGTGGGAGGCGTCTCCGTTTGCTCTGCCTCTGTGGACCCTGGTCTTCCCTGCTCTGGGGTCAGACTGTGTGTTCGGCACACGTGTAGTTTGTTTTGCACAGTTCTCGTTTTTGCACTAGGGTTTCTTCATCTGTTCCCTCGTTCCGTCAATGTTTCCCCTTGAATTCTCACACACGGAGAGCAGTTGGAGATCCGTGTCTCAAGCCGTCATCTCTGCCGTTCCCACTGGCGGTCCTGGATTATACATCCCGTGCTGGTGCCGCTTAGCATGTCCAGTGATTGCTTGTTTTGTGCGGGACACTGTGGGAGCTGTCTCGTTGAAGCCTCCTGAGTTTTGTTTTAAAGAGAGTTGATCTTTGTCCTGCCAGGTAAAAATCCACAGGAGGTTTAGTTTGAGGCTTGAGGGTTGTCTGTTTTTGTTTTGTTTGTTTGTTTGTTTTTGCAGAATCAGATTCAGAACACTGCTGGTGCCCTGAGAGAGCTCAGGAACATTCAGCCCTTACAATAACTGCTGGTGACTGCCCACTTAGTGGCTGGGGCCCCGGAATGCGGAACATTCTAGAAAGAGTGAGATAGGTCTAACACAGCAAAGAATGGTTTCTCCCAGAAAGCTGGCTGCACTGCAGTTAGGAACACGGCCTCCAGGATATCATCCTCCTGGTGGTCCCTCCTACGGCCTCATCTACCTCACCCCACCCCCCCCCGCTGCTGCTGCCCTGGGTGGATCTATTAGCACCTGCTGTCCTCTTTCAGGGGCTGGAACCACCTGTCCTGGCTCCCTCAGCTGGGCAGGACCTTCCTGAACCAAACCTGCACTTCTCGCCACTTCCCCTGCCTTGTCTGTCCATTACCACTCACCCCATAGCTCAGGCCGTGGATGTGTTCACTAAGTGTTAAAAGGAAATGCAGATAAACAGTGGGCAAAGCAGTGGTGGAGTGATGCAGGTCAGCTGACCAGCATGCCATCACACCCCTGGGCAGGGGAAGAGGGGTAACAGTGGCCAGAGTGGAGGCCTCTTGGTCCCATGGAGGTAGGGCACCCACAGTTTGGGATTAGGTATAAGATACATCGGTCAGCTAGGGAGCTCTAGGAGAACCCAAGGCCTCACCCCCTGCAGGGGGCAGGTGTCTATAGGGACAGAGGGCCTGGGACAGGGGCGGATGACCTGTGTATCCCTGAGCTTGAGGCTGCAGCCAGCGTTGGTGGCGAAAGTGCATTACAGTAGGAGCCGCCCATCCTCCTTGGCCCCTCATCCCGGCATCCCGTCACCTCCCCATCTGACTTAACCGCCTGCTCAGATGGCCTCACCTACTGCTACTCCCTCGACCTCTCGGAGCGAGTCGCCCTGAAGCTCGACCAGAAGTTCCCCTTCAGCCTGATGAGGAAGATATCCCTGTGCAAGTACATCTCAGGGTCCGTGGCCGAGCGGAGGGCGGCCCAGAGCCGGAAGTAAGTCCCCCCAACAAGCTCTCCCAGCTTCCTCTGCAGATGGTACCGGGGCCTCCCAGGGTGTGGGCAGTGTTGGGATCTGCGGGCTGAGTCCCTCCCAGCATGTATGGAGGAGGACTGAACCAGGCTGGGGAAGGACGGGCACTCAATGCAGTTAGCAGACGCCCCCTCACTTTCTGCCACACCTCAGCATGCTGACCCAGCGCAGGCGTTCAGCTGCTACTGTGTCCTGTGTTGGGGTGCCCGGGTTTGAGTCCCCACTCAGCTTCCTGCAAGGGTGTGGTTACCTGGGTTTGCTGCAGACTTCACACTAGGACCCAGAGCACCTGCTGGCCAGCACGCTTGCCCGCCCCCTGAGCTGTGCCCTGCTGTGCCCTCTGTCCTGGGTCCTTCCCTGGGGAGGGGCATTTCCCAGGATGTGGTCCCCCCGCCAGTCTGGAGTTGGGCCTTCTTGGGGGCTTGTCTAGAGGGAGGGGCTGAAGTTCTTAAGAAAAGCAGAAACGGAAACCTATCCGAACAACTTGTGGGGTACAGATGTGGGGGGCACTGTATTGAGGCTGAGTTTTGAGGGGGCTTCAGGAGTATTAGGCACAAAGGCCCAGTGTGGGATCCCCTTGCTGGAGCTGACAGTTGCAGTGTCGAGGTAGCTGTTTGAGACACCCACATCCATCCCAGGGCGTCTGGTTCAAGTCCTCGCTGCTGTGCTTCTGGTCCAGCAGGGAGCAGGTGGTGGCTCAAGGCCTGAGTCCCTGGCCCACCATGTGGGAATCCAAGGTGGCGTTCTGGGCTCTTGGCTGTGGCTTGGCCCCAGTCCAGGTGTTGGGGGTCTGTCTGTCTGTCTCTCTTCCCTTTTCAGATAAGTAAAAATAAATGTTCTTTTTTAAATTAAATTCTAAAGAGCCTGTCAGCAGCTATAGCTGGGACAACCTTGGAGACTGGTGTGTACTTGCTGGAACAGGCTGTAGCCAGAAAGTTCACCCCTCAAGTATGCCTCCCTTCCACACGTGTCCATGGTGGGCAGGAGCTACCACGTGCGTGGACAGACTGGCCTGTCTGGTACCCACAGAAAGGCCTCGCTGTCCCAGTGGGGTTTCAGTGTCGTGTGCACTCCCGACCACTCCGTGTGAGAAGGAGAGTTGATCGTCCTCATGCACAGGTGCACCCCCAGTGGGGTGACTCAGATAGTCCAGCCCCTGTGCGCCCATCCCCACCACTGGAGAAGCCATCCGGAGGAGGTCCCAGTGGTGGTCAGTGTCCCCTCCTCTGGTACCTACAGCCAGTAGCCTTGCAGTCCTCATGCATACCGACAGGGGGCGGTGGGACATCATTGGCTGAGTGACCGCATTCCCTCTGTTCCATTACAGGTTGAACCCTGTACCTGGCTCCTATCCCACTCAGAGCTGCCACCCTCACCTGTCCCCCGGCCGCCCTGTCACCCAGATGCAGCACACCAGCAGCCAGAAGCTAGCCACCTGGCCAGCCTGCGCCCCAGGTCACATGCCCAGCCTGCCTCCCTACCAGCCCACCTCTGGCCTATGCTATGTACAGAACCACTTCGGTTCAATCCCCAACTCCTCAGCCGTCGACCCAGCCTCCGCGGGGATCTCCTTGGGGGTCCAGCCCCCCACCCCCGCCACTGTCCCCGGCTCAGTGTATTCTGGGGCTCTGGGCCCCGCAGGGGTTGCAAGCACCAAGGAGTCCTCCAGGGTCCCGGTGCCCTGAGAGAGTGAGGGGAGCTGTTCTTAGCACCGATTGACTAACCGCCTCTCCATGCCAGGTGATGTGCGGTACTTGAATTGGTGTCCTCGTTTCAGTGTGTGCTCCCGACCACTCCATGTGAGGACAAATGACCGTCCTCATGCGCAGGGATGCGCCCCGGTGTTGCTTGAGACGTGCCTGACCCTGTGGCTGCCCAGCTCCTGGCCCCAGGCTCCCCAGGGGCACACATGGGAGAAGAGAGCGCGCTGGCGGTCGGTGGCTGCAGCTCTGTCTTTCTCCTGTCATCGTTATGTCATCGTCATGGTACAGTTGGTCTGTGGTGACTATATGTCTGTCAGTGACCCTGTCCTCTGGGAGTGACAAGCTGTGTCACATGTCACACCCCGGCATCCCGGTGGACCGTGGTGTTGCTCACGTTTGAATAAAGAACTAGCCTCCAGCCTGCCTGTGGCCTGCGACTGCTTCATGGTCTGGGGAATGCAGGGCAAGCCAGGACCATGAGCCCATTCCCAGTGCATCAAGTGGGGCAGAGTTTAATGCAGTGAATGGCAAAGACCCTGGGAGGACTGGGTGGTGAGCCAGCAGAGTGAGTAACCTGCAGGTGAGTGTAAGGTGTGGGATGGGGGTGTCAGCAGAGCAGGGGTCAGGAGGTGGCACAGGCATGATGGCAGTGTCATCAGGAGCCAGAAGCTCCTGGTCCACATCAGTGGGGGCTTGCAGTGGGCCCAGATCATTCAGGCCAGCTAGTGGCCTAAGCCTTGAGGCCTTTCTTTTTGCCCAGAGCTGAATGCTCACCCTAGACTGGCCGTGTGGGAGCTCCTAGGTGTCCAGAAGTGGGTACAGCAGAACTGCAAACTCCTAGCATGGCGAGGGTAGGCTCACAGCAGACCCCTACACAGGCAGCCTGAGACGTGAGCTAGAAGATGCCTGCCCTGCAGGAAAGGGACTGAGGAGTTCATGGCCTGGACATGACTGGGGTCAACCTGAGTCACAGGGTGACAGGGCTCAGCCTGCAGCTGCTGGCTCCAGCCACACCAGCCGGCACCCACAGAGCAGCCCTGGCAACCGTAAGTGACTGTTGCTGGATGTTTGCTCTCAGCTCCAGCCCCAGGCCTGGACCGGAGCAGGTGCACGGGTCAGCCTGCTCCCCATGGGAGCATAGACACATCCCTGCTTCATCTGGCCTTCCTAATGGCACCATCAGGCTCAAGTTGGCAGAGGCTACGGGAACAGAGCTGTGAGGGTCCCCAGAGGTCCCTTCGCCCAGTGGTGGGGCTGGTGGGGCCCTAGGGAGGCAGGCCTAAGATCCCTTGGTTAGCCTCTCAGAAGCGGGGGGGGGGAGGGAGGAACCACTTCTCAGCCCCAGTTTGCATCTCAGTGGACTTCTCCCCTCTCACTGGCTGCTGTCAGACTGCCCACCAGCTCATTCCATGTCCACAAACCGTCACTCACACCCCACCTCTGGCTGGGGCTTCAGACTGGCCACAAAGGCAAACACTGCTCTGCCAAGGAAACATCTGTTGAACGAACCAGCAGGGAGGGAATGGGAGCCATCTCAAGGTGGGAATGGACCGGTAAATAGCTTCTATCCAGTGAACAATGAAAAGCTAAGCTTGAGGAGCTCAGAGGAGGCCTCTCCCCCCCCCCCCCCAGCTTGGCAGGCCTGGGCTTCTGTCTCCCCAGTGTTCTGCCTTCCCTGACCCTGCTAGGACCAGGCCCCCACTGTACTTTACACACACTTCACTCTTGCTCTTTGCCCTAGATTCGATGGCCAATCTGGCCTCACTTGGAAGACATCATATACTCCTACCTGCAGCAAGCCAGGAGCCATCCTGTGCATCCAACAGGCAGGCCAGCAGTGCAAGAAGCTGCCAGGGGGCAGCAGAGATGCAGAGTCGGGCTGACTCCCCGACCAGGGCCAGCGGCACTGGGTCCCAGGAAGAGCGTGCCTGGGACCCACCCAGAAGCTCAGGCGGGTGGTATCTCTCCTTCCTGCTTGAATCTGGCCATTCATTCATTTTCTATTTCTTCTCTCCCATTCATAGCACTTGGTGAGCAACCCCCACGTTGCAGGCTCATGTGAGGCCCTGAGGCCTGAAGGTAAGAACAAAACAAGTCCTGTGATGTGATACAGAAAGACATGGGGAGAGAGAGAGAGAGAGAGAGAGAGAGAGAGCATGGAGGGCAGTGGGATCCCTCTCACAGAGGCCAGAGGAAGAGGCCATGGATACTGAGCTCTCTCACTTGCAGCCCAGAGCTACTGCTTGGCTGCTCCTTGCCTAGCTGAGCAGGACATAGGGCCCTGAGAAATGTGGAAGGAGCAGGCTGGACCCTTGCCCTGGGCAGTAGGCTTTAATTACCCAGCACCTGCTCCATAATGGTCTCATCTTGGGGACTGGAGAGAGCAAGGTAACAAGGCTAGCACCCAGCCTGGGGATGGACACCCACAGGCAGCCCAAGGCCTGAGAGCAGCCAGCCCCCTTGGACTCCCTGAACCTGACCAGGAGAGGAGGAGGCGTTCTAGGAGATGGTGGCATGGGAGCCAGCATGATTGTGTCAAACCTGGTGGGAACAGAAAGGGGGTGAGGGTGGTAGGAGCCACCCGGAGTGGGCAAGAACACAGGGAGTAGGGTCATCCACATGGCAAAAGGTTGGGATTTGAGCCTGTGGCTTGTGGGGGCCATGGAAGGTTTCCCCGTTTATCTTCCTGCACACAGACCTGTGCACCATAGGAGAGGTAAGCCCAGCATCTTCTGCAGCTCCTGACCAGTCACGTGATGGCCGCAGCTGGGCCCTGTGCCCAGCCAGTGGCATTCCTGTGGCCACTGGCTGGGAAGGCAACCCAACACCCTCAGCCCTCCTGTTTGTTCTGGGCCATCCTCGACTCCCAGGTGGGGCCATGCTCTCATGTTAAGAGCAGGTCTCCAGGTGCATGGGAAAGTTACCAGCCATGCCAGGTGCAGGGCAGCATGGGACAGGGTCGGGGGGAGAGGGGGAGAGCCCACCAACCTCACACTGTTCCTCTCTCCGTCTTCCTGAGGGTGCGAGCAGACAGGGACTTCCCCTGGGCCAGGGCACCCTCCTGGCTGCCACTGGACTCTGGCAGGTGTCCACACCATAATCCAGTGGCCCCCTCTTTCTCCCTGGAGGAGAGGAGAGGGCAAGATCCTTTCTACCCAAGGCCCTGGAGGAGCAGAATGGTGTATCCAATCATAGCGCCTCCCCCTTCCCCATCAGCCTTCCTGCCCTGGGAGACCTGGCATTCTGGTGAGTGTGGCAGCTTAAACAGGTGCTGGGTTATACACTGCTATGTGCATGCTCCACGTGGGAGCAGGTGGACAAGTGTGAGGTCCCACGGTATCAGCAACCTGGTGCCCACAGCTTCCTCCCAGTGACCCCTGTCTGCAGTCACCCCAAGCCCAGATGGTGTCCCAGGTCCTGTTAGAAGGCGGTGGGTCAGAGACAGGCCTGGGCGCCCTCCCACCCCCCTGCCATTTCCCCAGAGTTCACCCTGGGAGTCACTCTGAGCAGAGCCTGGGGCTGGTCGGCTCAAGTTGCAGAACCAAGGAGAAGAGGACTGGAGTCAGGTTGCTGTCACCCGGGAAGCCCGGGCCTACCAGTCCCACCTGTTATCCTGTTAGGTAACAAGAGTTGGCCTTGGCAGGCCTCAGCTCTAGGAGCCAGCCCCACCGCTGCCCCATCCTGGAAGGGGGAGTCACGGAGTCCACGGGGCCACTGTTGAGGTGCAGGAAAGGAGGAGCCTGGGCCTTGGCTGGTAAAGGCGGTCTTGCTGAACATCCAGGTCTTTATCCCTGGGCACCTGCCATGCTCTTGTCACCACCCTGGCTGGTCCACATTGGGGAAAGGGGCTGGCAGAAGGTCAGAACGCCTCTGCCTCAGGCAGTCCACTGGCTGGAGCCGTCACGGAGCTCTGTGTGCTGTGTTTGTGCGTAGATGTGTATCGTGTGCACTTGTGCCCAGATGGGCGTGGTGTGCAGACCTGAGTATGTGCATGTGTCTGTCATGTGTGTCCATAGAGGTTTGTCACACGTATATGTGCATGTGTCTAAGTGTGCCATGTTTGTATGTGCATATCCACATCATGTGTGCCATGCAAACATGCATGTGTGTACATAAACGTGTGATGCTGTGTGTTGTGTATTGTGGGTTATGTTACATACATGGAGTATGAATGTGCTATGTTCATGTGTGTTTATTGTGTCCTACATTTAAGCTTGTGCACATATGTGTGTTGTATGCACATTTGTGATCGTGTATGGTGTTTGCACACGTGTATGTGTGTTGTGTGCATAGGTGTCACATACCCATGTTCTGTCATACATATAAGCCTTATGCGGTGTGTGTGTGTGTGTGTGTGTGTGTGTGTGTGTGTGTGTGTGTGTGTGCTGGTCAGTGTGTTCACATGGGTATACGTGAAGCAGTATTGGAGGACGGAATTCCTAAACCCCGACCCTCAATCCTCTGTGTCTGTGTCCTTGTCACCTCTCCTCCAGGAGCCCCTTCCCTGTCCGCAGCCCCTCCCCTTCCCTCTCAGGCACCTGTGCTTCCCACCCCCCTCTCCCTTAGGAAGTGCTTCTCCCCACTAAGGGACACATTTGCAATCCCTGCCCCCTGCTTTGTTCCTCCTCCTCCCTCTTGCCTCTCCTCCCTCCTCCCACCTCCCCCTTGTCTTCCTTTTTCTTTCCCTTCTCACTCTTCATTTGTGTATTTGAAAGGGAAAGAGAGACAGATCTTCCAAGCCACTGGTTCACTCTCCAAGTGACTGCAACAGTCAGTTTAAAATTCCAGGCTGAAGCCAGGAACCAGGAGCCTCGAACTCCACCAGGATCTCCTTCATGAGCACAGGGGCCGGAGCACTTGGCCGTCCTCTGCTGCTCTCCCAGGTGCACCCACGGGGAGCTGGGTCAGAAGCAGAGCAGCCAGGACTCAAACTGATGCTCAGACACAGGATGCCAGCCAGCATCTTGAACAAAGGCTTAACCCACTGTGCCACAATGTCTGGCCCTGACCTCTTCCCCTCCCCAGGACCCAGAGCTGACTTGGAGCCTGGACATGGACTGGGGCCTGCAGTAACCACCTCCCCCCCCCCAGTGCTTCTGAGAAAGAACCTCTTGCCAGGGTGCCCACCCTCAGACTCAGAGCATCTGGTGACAGAGGAAGCACCTGGAGTGTGACCGGGACACCTGCTTGATCTGAGCAGGCAGGAGGAGGTCCCCAGGGTACAAGGTAGACAGGCCAGGGGAAAGAGAAAAAGAGTGAGTGGCCTCCAAGGCCCACCCCAGAGGCTCTGGCACAGGACCCTGAGGCCCAAGGATGTAAACTAACTTGGCCTTCCAGTGTGTCATGAGAACCCAGCCATCTATTGAACAACCTGCTGTCGCGTGTTGGCTCCATTGTGATTTTTGTATACTTGGTGAAAGGTGCCAAGGAATCTGTGGGAGTTCTGTTGCCCCAAACGCTGCAAGGGTCGGAGACGAGTGAACCCACATGCGCAGGCATGTGTGTCTCTGCGTGTGTGTAAGCATATGTTTCACATCT